GGGGGGAGGGAGGACCCGTGCCCTGCCACACACACCCTGCTGTGAAGACAGGCTGTCGTAGTCTGCTTCAGGGTTGGGCTCTAGCAAACGTGGGCCATGCCCCATGCTCCCCGCCATCTGGTCCTTTGCAGGAGGATGGGGACTGCGCCGGGGGCCACCATCCCCTGGGCTAGGCCAGCGCCCCGCCTTGCCCCTCTCAGGTGCTAGGGGAATGCCCATTTGTGCTGGTCCCCGCTGACGGTTTGCAGCGGCGCACAGGGGCTGCGCACGATCGCTTGCAGCCACAGCCTGGGAGGGAAGCAGCAACCACAGCCGCTGCCAGTCTCCACTTCAGCCTTTCCCCCGTCCAGAGCTGGAGATGGGCAGGGGCTGGTGCTTGTGAACTTCACATCCCCGCGTGCCAGGCTGGGCCCAAGGTAACGCGCAACCGTAGGTCAGTTACGTGGCCCACGGCACTGGTCACCTGAGCAGCCTTTAATTCCCAGCATCGGCTTAACCTGGCCCCCTAGAGCCTTGCAAGGGGAGGGCTTTGAACCCGCCCACTATCAGGGAATTGCCCCAGATCCAGCTCCCGAGTGCAGTCGCCTGGGGGCTGAGGCATCAGCTCTGTGTGGACAGATGCTGGAAGGGAGGCGGCTGCAGCTGCTGCCCCGCCCAACCAGTAACTCGCCTTTGTGCGTGTCTGGGCACCTGTCCTGCTGCAAAGGAGCCAACAAGCCACCAGCCTTCAGCAGGGTCCTCTTGTCCCCACAGGTGATGTCCATTCTCTTGCACGGAGACGCGGCTTTCGCCGGGCAGGGGATCGTGTACGAGACGTTCCATCTGAGTGACTTGCCCTCCTACACTACGCACGGGACCGTTCACGTGGTTGTGAACAACCAGGTAAAAACGGCCCCCCGAACCTTTGAGAAGCTCACGTTCACTGCCCTGGGCGGGGAGAGCGGCTCGTGGCACGCTGGTGCGTTAGCAGTGGCAGGCGTGTTACCCTAGGGATGGGGCCCTGCGCCCAGGTCTCCTGCTGCTGTATCTCTGCTGTGAAACTCGTTATGGGGCAGACCCGCAGGCTGGACAGCGCCTCTGAGGCACGGCTCAGGAGCAGGAAGAACTGGTAGTAACTTGCTCTGGACTGATGAAAGCCCTAGGGTGGGGGAGGCAGGGGGAGACTTTCTGGGTCTGGGGCCACTGACCCACAGAGAGAAGTGGGGGGAAAACCCCTTCTTGTGGCCCCTGACTGAGAAGGACGCGCCCCACATCCCCTCACACACCAGCGCCTCGGGGGACCAGCTTAGTAGATTCTGTGCACTCCAGCCCCCAGGGGAGCAGCAGGGAGGTGGAGCACCAGTGCGGACTTCCCGATATCGGCCGTGAGCCTCGGGCTGTATCCAGGCATGCTGAGGGCCACACCTGGCCCCTGGGCCTGAGGTTCCCCACCCCTGCCCTGGTGTCTAGGACCTGGTCTGCACTACAGTCAGGTTGACCGAAGTATGGCAGTGTACACGCTGCAGCCTGGCCTCCCCAGCTGTAGGTGCTGATGTGACTTCATCTGCGCGAGAGGCCTGGGCTGTTGGTGTAGTCGGGGCATCAGGCCCATGTGGACGCTGCCAGGGGGGAGGGATAGCTCAGTGGTTTGAGCATTGGCCTGCTAAACCCAGGGTTGAGATTTCAATCCTTGCAGAGGCCAATTAGGGATTTGGAGCAAAAATTTGTCAGGGATGGTACTTGGTCCTGCTGTGAAGGCAGGGGACTGGACTCAATGACCTTTCAAGGTCCCTTCCAGTTCTAGGAGATAGGCAATCTCCAATAATTTAATTTATAAAGGTTACTCAGCTGGGCTGTGGCTGGCGTTCCTGGGCATTCCTCCGCTCCCTGCTGGAGCCATGAAACTGAAAAGGAAGACGGCTGTCAGCCCTGGGATGTAGCAGGCCCCAGCTGCCTCCCGTCTGCTCTGGGCTCCCGAGCAGGGAGCCGCACGTGGAGGCGACTGCCTGCCCTCTGCAGTCAGCGGAAGCGCCCCGGGGAGCCGTGCCTGGCTGGCAGGAGGAGGCCGTGTGGACGTGAGCCACCGCAGTGTAGTGTAGACGTGCCCTGATGGCTGTCGTGGCTCCCCTGCTTGGTTTTGAGCTCAGGCAACTGTGTGCACAGCCTGCGCCCTGTGCCCTAGTGCTGGGTTGGCTGGTTCTGAGCAGGGCCCATGGGGAGACCCGGAGGGGGGGGGGCTTTGAACTTTGACATGGTCTCACTGGAAGAGCCTTTGCCTCTGGGCTCTCGCAAGCCCTGCCTCCCAGGTGGCCTGAGTTACCTCTGTTGATGGGAAGTGCAGCAAAATCGGAGCCAAGCTCCTTCCAGGTTAACGGGATCATTCTCTACCCAGACCAAGCTAACGACCGGGGCGCCCCGACTGGCTGGGGGAGTGCTCCCAGGTGCCAGCGTGTCCCTGTCCTGTGCTGCGTGCTCTGGTCAGGGCTGTATTACCTGGCCGGTGTTGTAAAAACCTCTTGTCCTCAGTCGCGGCAGCGCCTTGATCTAGTCCTAGCTTGATGTGGCAGTAGTGCGGCTTCATGGGGCTTGTGGGAAGCTGGGAGCCCGTAAATGTACTCCCAGCTCTGCCGGCAGCTCGTTAAACTCGGCCGTTTTCCATCTGTAAAGTGGAGGGAACTTCCCCCTATCCTCCCCCCCCACTCTGGGTGAAGCACTTGCAGAAGTTGAGGACGGGTGTGATCTGATTGGCAAGCCAAACCCTTTTCCAGGCCTGTCTGTGTCTGGCCTGTTTTCCATGCTGTCCCCGATTGCTGTGTCCCCAGATCGGATTCACTACAGACCCGCGTATGGCCCGTTCCTCTCCGTACCCAACCGACGTCGCGCGGGTGGTGAATGCGCCGATTTTCCACGTCAATGCGGATGACCCGGAGGCGGTAGTGTACGTGTGCAATGTCGCAGCGGAGTGGAGAAGCACTTTCCACAAGGACGTGGTGGTGGACTTGGTAGGTGCCTGGGCCGTGTTTGGGGCTTTGCTGAAACCTGGCTCTGTAACTGGGCAATTGAGACACAGCTCTTTGGATGGAGCATTGGCAGCATCGTAGGCCATCTTAGTGTTGTGTGTTTGCACAGTGCCTCGCACAATGAATTAAAACCCTCTGCACCTTAACCCTTGGTTCTCTGAGTCTGGGGCAAAAGAAATAATTCAGTGAAAACAAGGCACTGAAAACGAAACGGTGTTGTGCTTGGAAAGAGACGCTACCTTTCCTGTGACGTCACTCTGCAGGATCTGCCGCTTTTCTTTAAACCGAGATGAAACCGTTCTACGCAGTTGTTAGTTACTCTAGTTTTACACCAGTGCGTCTCCCTGGATGTCACTAGAACCTTCCTCTGACTCCCACCAGTCTAACCGAGATCAGAATCGGGCTGCGCACGAGTCCCCTTGTCCTGCGTGCATCCGACAGTCACAGATCAATGTGAACACGACTGCTTTTTTGGCTTCTGAAGTAGGGGTGGAAAGCTGGCTATTTCTAATGGCTTGTCCCCTTGCACGGACTAGGTGTGTTATAGGCGGAATGGCCACAACGAGATGGACGAGCCCATGTTCACCCAGCCACTGATGTACAAGCAGATCCGGAAGCAGAAACCTGTGCTGCAAAAATATGCGGAGATGTTGATTTCAGAGGGGGTGGTAAATCAGCCGGAGTACGAGGTACTGTCATGCGGGCTTTCAGGGACCAGTCCGCCCCTTCCATCTGGTTGGCAGATAAGAACGTTGAATGGGGGGGGGGACACGAGCCCATGTTCACCCAGCCACTGATGTACAAGCAGATCCGGAAGCAGAAACCTGTGCTGCAAAAATATGCGGAGATGTTGATTTCAGAGGGGGTGGTAAATCAGCCGGAGTACGAGGTACTGTCATGCGGGCTTTCAGGGACCAGTCCGCCCCTTCCATCTGGTTGGCAGATAAGAACGTTGAATGGGGGGGGGGACGCAAATTAATATCACTCAAGAAATAGGTGCGGGGGGCACTGGTCCTGGAAGCAGCCAGACTCCATTAAACCCGGTGGGTGCTGGTACCGTCCTGGCGCCAGTGTGCATGAGCCACTGCCAGTTTGGTCCCCCCCTTCCAATCCTGTTTCCCGGCGTCTTCTCCTTCTGGCGTATTTGGGCAGAGCCATCGCAACCTGTGTTGGAGCCGAGCTGCTGTCGGGGGTGCGACCCAGGCCCGCTGGCGTCCTTGGCTTCCCCCTTGGATTTTAGCAGGGGCACGGGGGCTTCTGGCTCAGCCTTGCCTGCACCTTAAGATCAGACCTGTCCTCGTGCAGTTGTTGGGCCTGAACTGAAGGGCTTAGTCCTGCCTCGTGAGCGTCCAGAGCGGCTGGCTGGCGGGGGCCTTTCCTGTGTCGGGGGGATTCGGGGCACCCTGCAGGAGTCGGTTCCTGTTGTTGCAGCAGCAGGGAAGGGCGTGAGCTGGGAGCTGGCACGGGCCAGCACTCGGCACTGTGACCTCGTCCCTAACGGGGTGGCCCAGCACCAGCATGGAGCCCTGTGGCAGTAGGCCAGACCCTGACTGGTGGGTGGGAGGCAGAGTTTAAAACGTCCCCCACCCCAGGATCCACATAGACTTGTGCAGAGATGGAGAGGCCTGGCCCTCCCTCTTCCCCCCTCCCCCC